ACCATTAAAGTTTGAGCATTATATAAGCTCGTCCCCTCTTTATTTGTAAGACACCTTTCAATCAAATTAATTAAAGTATTTTGTTTTCTTTTAAAGTGTGTTTCTTTGAAGAATTCTTCTTTCTTTTGAATACAAGTGTGAGATTCACTTCTATTCTTTAGAAGCCACGAATATAGTTGTTTGTGTGATTCAAATAACTTGTTCGTTCACGGATTGAGAGAGTCAATCAAACCACCACCTTCCATCTCAACATCACGCCCATTTCCGCAAGAAAGCTTGTAAACTCTTGATTACCTCGTGAACATAAGTATGGTGGATTCCAATCTTATATCATCTGGTATCAGAGTTTTAAAAGTTCCTATCCATCAGGTTGTATCTCTAACCTTTTATCTTCCATATTTTGTTTTGTTTTGTTTTTGCTTCATTTTATAAATCGAAAACCCATAAAATTGTTCTTGTTTCCATTTGTTTTATTCCTTGTCATTTGCTTCTGCCTGCATAAATATATAAACCAAAATAAAAATTGTCTTTGGTTCACTTGTTCATTTTTAGTTAATTGTTCTTGCATTCAAAAGCATTAAAATCGGAAAAAAGTACCCTTGTTTTGTCTAATTCGTTTTTATAAACTGAAACCAAATAAAAATCTCGTCTTTGCTTTTAAATTCGTGTTTCCATCAAATTTTTTTTTTTTAAAAGGTTATTTGACTTTATTATTTTGTAATTCAGTTTAATTTATAAGAAAAGAAAATTAGAACTTTTTCCTTTTTGTTTTGTTTTGAAATTTTCTTTCCTTTTATTGTTTGATCTGAATCTGATTTTTGCCTTTTCCTCCTATTCTTTGCAAGCTACGACACAAAGAGTTAAACTCCATGGATTATGAAGATGAAGACATGATGGACGAGCTTGACAACATCAAAGTCAACTTTCCATCAAAAACCAGTGGGGTGAGGAACGAAACCAGAATTTGTGGGAAAAGGATGATGATTACGGATGAGCAAAATATACAATACGCAAAATTGGTGGGAAAAGGCATAAGCAAAATATACAATACCAGGATGAACAATCAACACGCATAACACAACAATCACACGAGAAACA